CTGCGGTGGCCGGGAGCGGCCACTGCACTCCAGTCTGGGTGACAGAGTAAGACTCCAACTCAAAAAAAAAAAAAGAAAAAGAAAATGTGTAGCTTCACCAATAATCAAAGAAAGGCAAAGAAACCATTTGATGCCATTTTTCCCAAAATGTTATATTATTTTAGAATAACAGTATTAAATACTGTGACAATACTGGTTTGGGCCTATAGAAACAGGCAAAAAGGTTGAATAGAGAATAAATACAGCCTTTCTAGAAGGCAGTTTAGTATATTAGAAACCTTAAATAAGGGATATGACCTTAACAGTTGTACAATTTCACCTCTAGGGATTTATCTTGTTGATATGTACACAAATTCATCTATTAGAATCAGCATCAGCTGGGCTCAGTGGCTCAGCCTGTAATCCTAGCACTTTAGGAGGCCGAGGCGAGTGAATTGCCTGAACCTGCAAGTTCAACACCAGCCCCAGTAGCTTGATGAGACCTCATCTCTTAAAAAAAAAAAAAAAAAAAAAAAGGGCCGGGCTCGGTGGCTCAGCCTGTAATCCTGCGCTTTTGGGAGGCTGAGGTGAGTGGATTCCTGAGCCCACGGGTTCGAGACCCGCCTGGGCAGCGAGACCTCATCTCTACAATAAATCAAAAAAATCAGCCGGGCGTGGTAGCACATGCCTGTAATTTCAGCTACACGGAAGGCTGAGGCAGAAGGATCACTGGAGCCCAGCAGGTCGAGGCTGTGGTGGCCGGGAGCGGCCACTGCACTCCAGTCTGGGCGACAGAGTGAGACTCCAACTAAAAAAAAAAAAAATCAAAAACAAAACAAAAAAAAACAAAAAGAAAAGGAATCGGCATCATAGCTTTATTAATAAACAGGAAAAATTAAACATATATGATGAGGGAACCAAAAAAACCCTGGGAATTTATTTATAAAAAATTATGTATTTGGCTGAGCGTGGTGGCTCATGCCTGTAATCCCAGTACTTTTGGTGAGAAGGTGAGTGGATTGCTTGAGTACAGGGGTTCAAGACCAGCCTGGGCAACTTAGTGAGACCTCATCTCTACAGTAAATCAAAAAATTAGCTGGGCGTGGTGGTGTGTACCTATGCTTCCAGCTATTTGGAAGACTGAGGAGGAAGATCACCTGAGCACAGGAGGTTGTGGCTGCGGTGACTGTGATCATGCATCTGCACTCTAGCCTGGGAGACAGAGTGAGATCCTACTCAAAAAACAAAAAGTGTATTTATTTTTACATGTTTACACTTTAGTCACCTTCAAAGTACTCTCCGTTTGATGCCATACCTCTATTGAGACACATTCCACTACTCAAAACCAGTTTTTGAACTCCTCTATTTTGATGTCTTTTAGTGCTTCTGCCATTTTTTGTTTCACCTCTTCCACGTTGACAAAATGTTTCCCTCTGAGGACTTTTTTCATCTGGAGAAACCAAAAAAAACAGTTGCTTGGGGTGAGTGGGTGAATAGGGAGGGTGAGATACAGGAGTCATGGTGTTTTTGTATCAAAACAGAGTGATGTGAGCAGGTGTGTTGTAATGGTGGAAGAACCAGTCACCTATTTGCCACAAAAAAATTCACTGAAGACAAACGCAGTCTCTCACAACAATGCTAACTGGTACACTGATCCCGATGGGTTCTTAGAACATTTACTTAGCAGGGAAAGCCTGTACTGCAAGGGACCTGCCCTCCAAAAAATAGTTCTGTTTTTTGAGGGGATCCCCCTCATTTTGGAATACATTTGCTATTAAAATTACAATCTGAGGCCAGGCACAGTGGTTCACACCTATAATCCCAGCACTTTGAGAGGTGAGAGGATTGCCTGAGCTCCTGGGCTCGAGACCGGCCCGGACAACTTGGCGAGACCTCTTCTCTACAATAAATCAAAAAATTAGCTGGGCATGGTGGCGCATGCCTGTAGTTCCAGCTACTTGGAAGGCTGAGGTGGAAGGATCGCTGTTAACCCAGCATGTTGAGACTGAGGTGGTTGTGAGCGTGTCACTGCACTCCAGCCTGGCAACAGAGTGAGACTGCAACTCAAACAAACAAACAAATTACAATCTGGATGAATATTTAACTATCGAGAAAATATTTAAATCGTTTAAATAGGTAGAGGTAGAGATAGTAAGGAACAGAGGCACTGTTGGTGCCAAATAGATTCTGACAAAACTGCGGGGGTCCAGCCCCGCAAGGTCGTGGGTTTTCCTGAAGGAGAGACGGATAGGCAAAAGACAAAGATAATATACTCGGACACCTGCTTCCTGAACAGATGACGTTTAATGTTAGCTAAGGGAAAGCTTTTATACCATTTGTAAAAGGGCAAGACAAAGAAAATTCCTTCACGTACATATCCTCTAAAAGTTAGCACCATCTAGCGGTCTGGAAGTGACAAACAAGCCAAGAACCCTATAAACATTCAGACAACAAGTCTTATTCATAAAGCCAAATAGTTTCAGTCCAAAGTCCTGAATTACAGTTCTTGAACTGTCTCCAGAAAGTTTCCAAGTGCAAAGTTCTTCATGTAGCAGTAGTTCTCCTTCTGGGGCTTCTATGACCTTCAGAGCTTTGTAATCACCTTTCTTGTCCAGGTGTCTTCGTTACTTTTCTCTTATCCTGTGGTGTTTATTTCTAAAGAGAACTCAAAAGAAGCTTTGAGTAGTGTTTCCCAGGCCCCCAAAGGTTGCTTTCTGTCTTTAGCTAATCTATCATAAAAGTGTCTGATTAGTATATTATGAGTTCAGTGAAAACCCACTTTATAAATGTTAACTTAGAGTTTTAACTATTGAATTAAGTAAAAACCTTAAAGATAATCTTTATCCTAAGTCAGTGAAGTGTTATAAATCACCTACATAACTCCTATATAAGTGTTAGAATTTATAATGAGTTCATAATGAATTTACTATAAACTTGTGCTTCTAAAAAACCTTATGTCTAAACACGAAACTGCATAATCCTAAATCAAATAAGGAGTGAATATACTTATATCACTTTTTTTTTTTTTTGAGTTGGAGTCTCACTTATATCATTTTTTACTCAAGCAATATTTAGTACCTTATAACCACCTGAAAGAAAGCATTCTTGATGTGCTTCAGAGTTTAACCCTTGCATATGTTAGAAAAGGCCAAGCGGTATAGTGGGAAATGGAAAAATGAACCATGACATTCTCAGGTTAGCTGTGAGTACTTCGCATAAACATACCATCTTCTTCTTCCATGACTGCACAGAATTTCTTCAGCTGTACCAACAGCAAAGACAGGACAGAAGGGCCTCAGCTGCCCAGACTCGCTTTGCGGCTGGGGGTCCTCAGCACACCTGGACTTTGTCAATCAGGCGGGCCTCCAAGGCTGGCTCCCAACACAAAACAGTGTAGACTTTATGCACATATTAAGTAAGAGTTGGCAATTCTTTACTTTCTGTTCCCAAACCTCCCTTCCATGAGTATTCTCCCACCAGAGTTTCCCTCGCCAAACCAGAATTTTAATTTGATTATTGGGATGGTATACTATATCCTGAAATTAATAGTAATTTATAAAACATCTTTATTTCTATCAAACAGTAAACCAGCAACTCACTTCTGTAAGATTTTTGTATTCCTGAATTCTCATATTTTTTCAATTCAAGCATGGAAAAATATTAACCAAGATTCTCATTTTGAAGAAAACAGTTTGAGTTTTGGATAGTTGGGTGAATATAAACAGCTAGTACTAAAATGGTCATCACTTCAATTGACTTTCTAGCACATCCATGAAAAAGATCTTGTAGATTGTGACTCCATGCAGACGCTCCCTCTGCTGGCTGCTTTTGGTAACAGTGCAAAATTTTAGGGCTTTTTTGTTCATTTCAAATTATAAAATATTGTATGTGCTTTTTGAGAAGATTGCAAACAGAAGTGATTGCTTTACCCCACCTTCAGAAAAATGACATTATTGGCAAGGCAAATCAAGAATTTATTATATACTTTGCTTTTAGTGTCTGGCTGCAATATGCGGTTTT